GCTATATCACTTTTTGGCCTTGTGTGTTCCTATTACTTGTTCACTTTGATTTCTGATTATTCTAGATGCGATTTATTGCACAACTTGCCATCTCTGCGGTTCACCAAAACAAAAATGAAAACAATCAACAATCGGCGCGTTACAAAACGTTGGAAATTCCGAAAATTCCCGGGATTAACTAGCACTTTTAACAAATAAAAAAAAACTACAGAACTACAGTTCGTTCGGTTATCTTTGAGTGTCTTTCTGATATCTGATTTCTGATTGGGAATTATGATGGAACGTCAGTTGGGAGTTTTGTGGATTTTTGAGTTGTGAGTTTTCAGTTTCCGTTTCCGTTGGTGGCTGATTTTTGGGTTTTTTGGTTTCGCGTCGCAGCACGCGCACGTAACGAGCAACAAACAGCAACTAACGTTATTTTTAAAAACCCAACTCGATTGAAGTCCAAGTAGCAAACGCCGGCAGCGACGTCGGCGGCGGCAGAGGCAGCGGTCGGCAGCAGGACCAAGCCGCCAGGAGCGGCCGAAGCCAGCCGAAGGACGCCCGAAGTCGTTGCAGGACGAAAAAAGTGGAAGGATGCGACGGCAGCGGTGGCAGCGAAGCCGACGGAGCTTTGTTTTGGTGCCCAAGTTGTGATGATGATGATGCTGGCTGGCTGGGCCGGAATATATCTGCGCGACCGTGGAATAGAAAGTTTAGCACACAATTGAAGTCATTACAGGAGCAGATACACCAGCACACACACACACACACACACACACACAGACGCACTTGAAGAGAGAGCGAGGGATTGGCGATTGGCAAGGCAAGGATTCCAATTAGATAGCCCTGAATGCTATGCTACGATTTTGTACGCTGACCGTCCGCTGCCTGCACTCACTAGCTACCATCTGCTGCTGCACTGCATCCTTTGGATTATTGGACTGTCCGGTGAAGCTGCCCCCTCACCACCCTTTTTACCACCCCCTCTCCCCCCCTTAGCTGGCTCTGCCGCAGCGCTGCCATAAAAATCACCCGCCAAACAACGTACTAAACACTCATTACTCATTTCGCTGGCTTGCCACCCCCCACCACCTCACCCACGCCCCCTGCAGCAGCCACCGCCCACCAGGGGCAGCAACAACTATTCACACACACACACAGCGAACGAGAGACACACGCACACACACACACGCAGATAGAACGAAGTTTGCTCTTTTTTTCTGCGTGTGGCGGTACAAAAAAAAAGGATGCGACTGCGACGCTGGCAGAGGCAGCGACTGCGCAGCCCGCGTAGGCAGAGCCTGGGAAAAAGGAAAATCAGAAACAAAACAAAAATGCGAAAAACGAACGAAAAATGCTAAAAACCAAAAGCGGCAGCAGCGCAGCTGAAACAAAAAGTAGAAAAAAAATCAAGCGGGAGAAAAGGAAAATGGTAACGGGAGGGGAGGGGAGAGGAGAGAAAGAAGAAGCAGCGGCGGCGGCAGCGGCGGCAGGAAAAAAGAGTCAGCGTATGTGTGTGTGGCGGTGGAAAAAATCCATCCGCAACCAACCCCACTGCATGCTGCGCCCCCCTCTCCCTTTCCCTCTCCCGCACACAAGCACAACACACAGAACACACAGCACACACACAAACAACCCCCGTGCGATGCCGGCAGCAGTGGGAAATTTAAAAAACGCGTTTACACGACGACACGAGAGCGGAGCGCGCGCAAAAAAAAAATTGCCAGCGAAACAGGACGAAACGACGAAGCGACAAAATAAAAAATACAAAAATTTGTAAAGCACGAAAATAAAAAGGACTCTCACACACACACACGTGCATAAAGGAGAACTACGAGCGCTACTACGCCCACCGCCCACCGCCGTCGAAAGGGGAAATCGACGCACAAAAATAACCAAGCGAATAAAAAAGGATGCCCTGCGTGTGTGTGTGTGTGTGTGTGTGTGGGTGAGCTGAAGAGCGTGACTGCGTGCGTGTGTGAGGAGAGCCGTTTTTTAAATTTTAATTTGTTATCTTTTTGCTCTGTCCCGCTCAGGAGTTTCTGGCTGGCCATCTCGCTCGCACCGCCCCCCCCGCACCGAAAAAGTATGCAACGTTTTTGGGAGATAAAACAGAAGATAGAGAGAGAGAGAGAGAGGGTGAGAGAGAGATACAAAAGGGGAAGTATCTTTTGGATCGCCGATCTCACAGATCCTTTTACCTTTCTTGTTGCTTGCAAATGCCGGCCAGAATGAGAATGCGAATGAGAATGTCGAGACACAAACATAAACGGCAACTAAAAAGAGAGACGGGCGAGAGCGAAGGACACGCGACTAGGCAGCCACGACGTCTTAACGGTTACTAACTGCCCAAGACGCTGGCGATTTCGGCTGGAACCGAATGTTGGCCGGGCTGAGACCGAACTGAGGCAGGCTCCATTTCCCCATTTACCATTCAGTCTGAGTTTTGGCGTGATTCGGAGCAAAAATAAAGTCAGCCGGCAAAAGTCGACGACGAAGATGCTGCCGCAGGAGGTCAAAGTTGAGCAAAGGAGCACTTGAATCACTCGGCCAGCCATCATCCTGTTGCTCGGAATGACCGACCGACCGACCGACCGCCCAGCTATATAATAACACCACCCCCACCCTTTCTAACAAAAAAATAAAAATCCTAGAAGGTGAGGTAAACCCGGCAAACTACGTACATACAAATGAGCGTAATAAAATCAAATGCTGATAGTGTGTAGTTGGACGCATTACCCATAAGCCGCCCCCTCTAAAAACACACACATATACGTGTACAAGGATAAGGCACACAAAAACACTAACACACACACACACACAAGCAGCGGGCAGTCGAAGAAGAAGAAGAAGCAGCAGCAGCAGCAGAGCAAATCTACTACACGCAATCTTCATTTTCAACGCCATCAAAGCCATTCCAATCATCATTATCGTCGCCATAATCATCAAGTAAAGTACCCACCAGTAGCGCCTCGACGCAGGACGCACCCCTCCTGCAAGGACACCCCTGGCTTGGGGGTGCTGAGGGGGTGGCAACCCCCTCCTAAGAAGTATGCTATGAGATTCTCTTTTTCGACAGTGCTCTTAGACGAAAAGCAAACGACGACGATGGCAATGGCAATGGGATGCCAACAAGTGCGCCCGAAGTATTCTTTTTTCCTTGCTCTCCATCTTTTGGCTCCTTTTTCGGGGAAACAGAGAGAGAGAGAGAAAGCGAGCAACTACAGTGTGTGTGTGTGTGTGAGTGTGAGGAGGGAGCAAAGGAAGCTGGATAAGGATAAGGATGTGAATGTTGACGTCTTCGTTGTAGTTTCGCGTAGTTCCTTGTGAATGGGAAATGGGTGGATGTGGATGTGGCTGTGGATGGCCTCCCATTCGGGTTAGGAAAGTAGAAAGTAGAAAGGGAAAGAAAGCATCTAGGCAGCCGGCAAATGCGACAAATTATTTAAGCTGCATGTGGCGCGCGCCAAGCTTTGCTCCTGCACTCAAAAAAAAGTAGACCCCAAAATAGCTGAGCTATATTTATCATAAAATAGGGATAAATAAGCTAGGTTGAGCAGAAAGCATAGCTTAGATTTCAGGGACAGTAAAAAAGAATTGAGATATTTTTTCAATCAAAAAATCCGCCACTTAGGATCGACATTCTCTTAGGTTAAGCTATCCATTTTCATCATGATAAAATTCCGATTAAAAAAATATTCCCCGAAAATATTCATTGTTAATTTATTAAATGTTTTTGGCATTAAACAAAATACACTTAGAAAAAAAAATTCCTTGATTTTAGTGCATTGACTTTTATTTAAAGAACACTTGTCTAGAAATGGCTTAACGTGGAACTGAAAATGTACCTACCAAATATATTTAATGACTAAATTGACTAAAAACCATTTTTTAATGTAAACCCATTTTTAATCCTTAAATATATATGGTTCTTCAATATAAATATGTTTAGCAAACCTTAGTCCATAATTCCTTAAATTAAGGTCAATGGACCAAAGCCAAGGACTTTTTTTCTGCGTGTAGGATAGAAACTTGGGTTCATATGTTAATATTATTTCATTTCAATTAATTAGAGAAGATTTACGGGATTTCAGAAATCGAATATTAGTACCTACCTTTTCTGAACACATTCTCTTCAGTCTAAATATAGGACCAATTTTTTATTCCGAGTGTGTGTGCTTTCTCGCTGTTCTCTTGTAGCTGCATTAAAATCTTAGAAGACGGATTCCTCGTTTATCGGCATGCAGCCAGACACACATGCACACTTACTCAGGGATACGAAGATAGACTTACGGCTAGAGCTTCTGGCGGTTGTCTTTGTTTGTTGGGTTGTTCGGTTGTATGTTCTGTTGTTTGCTGCATATAGTATAATTTAGATTTTCGCGTTACGTACACATAGGCGAACTGCTTTGGGTGGTAGGTGCCTCGTTTTTGGGCTCGTCTTCTTCGTTTTTGGCCCAAAGTTTCAGCATATTTTGCTAGACTTGCTTTAAATAACGCACACAGACACACACAGACGCACACTCACACATATGCAGATTATTTTTGAGTGGCAAGGAGGGGGAGTGAGTTTTCGGTTCGCAGTAATTAGCCAATAGGAATAGCTGGAGCTTGTGTGTGTGTCCCGTCAGGGGTGCGTATGTGTGTGTGTGTGTGAGTATCTGTGAGCCATCCCTCACATGCACGTTTGTCATTTGGGCTTTGCCTATCGCATTCGAGCTTACCATAAGACAATTGCCCACCCTTTGGTTATTCTAAGGGGTCATAAGGCTGTAGCGTTTGATCCCCATGACCCCTTGAACCCTATTATACAATTTTATGGTACTCACCTGCGATCAGAGTTGGGTTTTTTTTAGGCTGAAAGAAACAAGTGGAAAGGAACTCGGTTAGTGGGTTTCGCCTAGGTCATGTGAGTATATGATCTTAATATCTATCGATCGTGAAAATATAATTTTAATATCTATAAAATAATCTATCAATCGATCGAATAACTCTAGTCTTTTTCTTTTCTTTTTCAGCACTTGGAAGAAAGAACTTTATAATACTTTCTGTATTGGTAAGTTGTACCCAATTATTAATTATGTGCCGTGCCACACAGAACTATGAGTATATGGTTAATGCCTATATATATAATTGTCAAAGAGCCAAAGAGTAAGCTTCAAGTGTCAGAAGCGAGCTGAAATTTGTTGCTCCACCTACTTTTTTGGGCCTTTGTTTTTTCTCTCTTTTCTTTTTGTTTTTGGTTAATATATTACGCATATGCGGTGGGTTGATGGGGAAGGGGAAGGGGGCTGGTGGCAAACACTAGACACCCCCACAAACACAAACACACACTTACTCACACACACACACATACACCGACAGGAAAAATATTAACCAAACAGAGCGAGTGGAGCGCGGCAGTTAAAAATATTTAAAAAATTTTCAAGTGGGTGATAGAGGAGTGCCGAGTGTGGAGGGGGGTTGTTGGAAAGGGGGGGGGAGTGGGCTCCCAAAAAGCATGCGTGTGACAGCAGGGGTGGGGGCTGGAAACCAGTGGGAAGGGGCGGGGAGCGTACCACCACTTTTGGTTAATTGCCAAAAACAACTACAAAAGGACAACTTAAAAAACGACGGGAAATGAGAGGGGGCAGGGGGGTACGGGAAATGGAGGCGACAGCGGAAAACCGAATGGGAAATACCCTCGAAGGGATCGGATCGTATCGTATCGGGGGTGCATACATGTACGCCAGAAAGTATGCAAAGAAAGTTGAGCTAACCCCTGCCCCACCCACTTTCCCGCGGACTGGAAAAAGTTGCGTTCGCTTTTGGTGGGGCTTATGTAAACTCGCTACCTCTCGCTCGCTCTCGCACATATGAACACATATGAATATGTAACCATATAGAACATTTTCCAACTGCCTACGCGCTTATGTCTGTGTGTGTGTGTGTGAGCTGTGCTTGTATGCGGTGCTCCCTTTTTATTATTTCGCGCGTCGCAGCCAAAAAGGTACATAAATTGCAAATGTATTTGTGGAAAAGTGCGTTGTGGTGCGTGCAGATGAAGAGTACCCTTCCCCCTGCCCATACAACACCACCCACCGCCCACCACCCACTTTTGGCAGTGGCGCTGCGAAGCTTATTTTTTAATTTGTGCGTTTCCCCGCGACATCCTTTCCCCTCCCCCGCCCATCCCCCACTCGATGCCAAATAATTTAGCATTTTGCGAATAGGGGATTTTTCTTTAGAGGGAATATACATAATTTTACTATAGATCGTACACCAAAAAAAAGAAAACTACAATTATTGGAAGGGCTGAAAACAAAACTATAGCTAGTTTTGGAATTTAATACTAATTCTATGACTATACCCAAGAAACTGTACCATAGTAAACAATCTAAATATAAGAACATCGTTTTTAACGGGTGTGCGAAAGATCTTATAGAAAGCAATTCTTTTTCAAAACATCTGAATATTGGTATGATACGTTGAAATCGTTTTTAATGCAGTTTTGATTGGCATTTCTAGGGAATTTCGGAGATATTCGGGGTTAAAAACGAAGAAATACCCCCTTTTCTTTTTATTATATGGGCACATATCACCTGGTAGAGTGCATTGGGAGTTCGACTACTTGGCTTCAGCTTGGGTCCCATCATCCTGGCTTCGACTGGTTCTACTTCCTTTTCTATGGTCGTGCTTGCTTTGACTCGGCTGTTTGTTTTAACTTGTGCCACTCCTTTACCCCTAACCGTATCCCTACCCCTATCCCTATCCCCATACCAACTACATCCCCCTCGAGCACTTTCTTTTTTGGCAAAACTTTTTTGCTTTTCTGCTGGCATGTGCGTGCCCCATCCCCTAGTCTCGAACCCCCAACCCCCATCCCTTAACCACTTCTTGGCTCTTTAGCATTCGCGCTAGTCTGTTAGTGACAGTCGACGGTCGTCGGAGGCTGCATTTCTGAGCAGCGAACGACGACGACGTCGAAGCCGGCAGCAGCCAATTTAATTTTTCATATGTACACAAAGCCAGCCCAAAAACAAAACCAAAAAAAAAACACAGGAAAAAAAAAATGGGAAAAAAGTTTTTCTAATTCGCATTTGTATTTAATTTGATGGAGCTCTCTGTCTTTCCCTCTGGCTTGGCTTTGCCACCCACTTTCACTGCCTCTGCCTCTGCCACCTACCATACCTTCCAAGTAAAAACCCCCCTTAAAAAAACCCTGCCCCCTTCCATTAGGTTCGCTGTTCGCCCTTTTTTAATGGGGTGCTTTATGACAAACTTTAAGCGCGCGCGACTCTAAACATTAAAATTGTACATGGCCCATGTGAGTGTGTGTGTGTGGTTGGGGGTGTAGGTGAGTGTGTGTGTGGGTGTGTGCGGTAAAGAAGCATAGATGACAGGGGCGGAGGGAGTGAGGGGGTGGTGCAAAAGGGGGGGATGCGCGCACTTCTAACACCGCCCACTAATACCAACTGTGCCTAACTGGTGGAGCGACTTGCTCTCTCCGTCTTTGTCTGTGTGTGTGTGTGTTTCTGTGTGTGTGTGCGCATATGTAAAGTAACCCCCCCCCCCACATTCATACCCCCCACTAAACCCCTGTTTATTTCATGCGTGCGCGTGTCTGCGGAGTAATTTTTTAACTAATTTTCTATACAAATTTTTAGCATGTCGTTTGGGGCCCGCGCACACTTTTTACTTTCTTTTTTGCATACATGAATATGTATATGTGTGCTCTGCGGTGCGTGTGAGCGTGTGTTGGTCTTTCTAGCCCGAGTGTTCATTCGTTCATTTGGAGCTGTTGTGCGCAGTCTTAGTGCTCGGCTTGGCATAACCAAGAACCAAAAAAGGGGGGACCTTTGGTACTCCAATCCTCCCAAACTGATTTTCGCCACTACATTGAGTCCTATCTGATTTTGGGCTGCCAGGGGGTTTACACATTTTTAAGGCCTACTCTGCTGATCTGATCTCCAAATGAAGTGGAAGTCGCAACATGTGTTTGCCAAGCCAAATTCAGTACACCGAGAGGTATATCATCAAGGTTTTAGTCTAGCCGTCTTAAATATCTTATATCTTACGATCCGCTAAACACTGGAAATATACCAAGCTTTAATTCAAGTTTTAAGCTAGTTTTAATTTAGAAAAAAGATCATAGAAGAAGTCCTGCAAGTCGACCATACTTCCCTTTTTATGAAAATTACAATAAATTATAATAGACTTTTATATTTTCTAATAAAAATTCGTATGCCTTTATGACACTTGCTTATATTTCGATTAACTAAATGGGTTAACTTTTATATACTTATAGCAACCCTAAGAAAAAATGGTACTTTTCCAAAAAAAAGTGTTTTTTTTAAATAAATTCAGTCAGTTAGACAAATTATAAGACAGTGCCGTAAAGCCATTGGAACTCCAGAAGCCTTTTAGTTTAATCAAAATCAAACGGCTATATCATAGTGTATTTCTTAACATATGTCATAAACTCCTGCTCCCTCTTTCTAAATATCGTAAGCTATGATCATATTTGACAAGCTTGATCTTTGGTTATACATAGACGATAAAATGGATGTGAATGGCAAGTCATGCTCTTTCTATTCGCAGTACAACGTTATTTTTTTCACTCTTCTGTTGTTATGATGATTTGACAGGATGGCATTCATACTGACGCATGGACACGGCCGAAACCGAAACCAAATCGGGGCAGAAAGATGGTTGGTTGGTGGTGGGGAAAGTGGAAGTCATGGGGCGCTGGCAGTGATTTGCATTGTTTGTCAGCAATGTCAGCTGCCAGCAGATATACCCGCCATATGTGTCTGTGTCCGTGGAGGTCCTTTGCCGGGAGATTGGTGGCTCGGAGGATTGGATGGCGACGCGTCGCTGTTAAATATTACATCAAAATAAAATTAACATTTCATTTGGCGGCCTTTTTTTCGAACGCTTCATCGATAAATTTCGCAATGGTCGGGTGGTGTTGTGAGTTGAGGGGATTTGCGATTTTCGCCATTCATTTTTATTCTTCTTTTTTTTTTTTTGTTCGATTCTTTTCTATTTTTAATAAAAAATCATTACATAGGCAAATATAAATATTGCCGGACCGAACTGAACCCCCCTCCCCCATGAGTGTGTGTGATTGTATATGTGCAGAAATGTTGCGGTAAAAAAAGTCGGGCATTATGTAGAAAAAGCCAGTGACGCCAAATATTTTTTGCCATTATTCATGGGGCTTTCATTTTTCACAAAAATGCATTTTAATTGTCACATAAAATAATTTCAGGCGTGGTGAGAGGGGCAAGAGGATGTCCAGGACTTTGTCCCGGCAGGATGGAATGAATCCATGGGGTTATTGCCATGGTTGGTATAGCCCAAACACTCGCATGTGCCGATTCTAGTTGATAGCGCCGTGTTATTAGGTATCTGTAATCTGAATTAGGGTTAACTTTTCAGTCTACCCCCCTTTATCCAATAATAAACTCTCTGCACCATTTCCCCAACCATTTTTTTTGAGCATCCCCATTGCAAACTGATAACCGAGTGGAAATCAAGCGAACAAAGTGTTCACAGCACAAAAAAAGTTAATAATAAGTGGATGCAAAATTTTTATAAATACATTTTATTTAGTGCAACGCGACAGACGGACGACCCAAAAAGCTGGGGATGGAGTGACATCCTGGAAATCCTGTGCCCCGCCACCTGGTAATTTCGCATTTTTTTTTTTTTGTTCTTCCTTGTTTGCCATGGAGCAAGAGCAAGGCATAATAATATATTTTAACTGATGTAGTATGTGGAATGGAGAGAGAACAGGGAAAAAATTCAAGGTAATGGGGGGCAGGGGCAGGTTGTTTCGGCTGCTTCGCCCGCTATTTTGCACAACATATCGCGCTCGTAAAAAATAATACAACTACATCCACAAACATGCGCGTTTACTACCCATTACAAAGCCCAGCGCGCAGAGCGGCATCCCCCAAAAATCCACCAACCCCAAACAAAAAAAAAACACGTCTAAAAGATACGCGTGGAGCGACTAAGGACAAACGCTATCCTTGAACACATACGCGCAATTCTAAAAAATTAATGTCG